ATACAACATAATATAATAGAACATAATACGAAATAATTTAAGGCAAGATCAAACTTTTTAAAAATAAGATAAATTCAGGATCAAAGAATGAATTGTATTTAAGAAGTAAGTTGTGTAAGAATTGGCTAATTTAAGTGGGACTAGCTGGGTAGGGAGGGTGTCTGGGAAAGCTTAGGGACAGATCTGGTAAGAGCTGACCTTTTTATCTTTTTGCCTTTTGTCCTTCTTCCTTCCCCCTGCACTCTTCTCAGAAGGCAGACTCCATAGCAGGTGCTGGAGTGAGGCAGCCATTGTGCAACCAAGAGGAAAAGACTTACTAGAAAACCCATGATCCTGGACCTGTGAGAGCCCTGCTGCCAGTCAGCAGCAGCAATCACTGACTCCAGCCTTCTCCGTGTGAGGAAAATAAACTTCTATGACAGAGGTGCCCACATGTTCTCAATGCATAGCATGCTTAGTGTCTCAGTAATTTTTTTCACAGTGCCCCAGAGATAAAAAGAAACACCTAGCAGTTGCATTTACTAAGTAGTTAGGTGTCCAAAAACTTAATAACGTTTATGTACTAACAACTTAGTAGCTGTCTGAAAAAGAATAATACACATAAATTAAAAGAAAAAGAGCATTTTTATTTCATTCCTAAATAATCACAACTACTAATGGGATATGTGTCGCAATTTTGCACTTCACTGCTTCTCAAACTTTGGAAAAAGATTAGACACCACTACGTGTTCCACATTGATATTCTCTTACTACTTACTTTTTTAAAATTGTGGTAAAATATACATAACATAAAATTGATTGCCCTCGCCATTGGTAGGGCATGCTCATTGTTGTGCAGCTGTCACCATTACTCATCTCCAGAACTTTTTCGTCTTCACCAAATGAACCTCTGCACCCCTCAAACACCAGCTCTCCATTCTCCCTTCCCTCAACCCCCGGCAACCACCATTCTTTCTGTCTCTATCAGTTTGACTATTTCAAGAACTTCATATAAGAGGAATTATACAATATTTGTCCTCTTTTAACTGGCACATTTCATTTAGCATAATTTCCTAAAGGTTCATTCATGTTGCAGCATGTGTCAGAATTTTCTTTCTTTTTAAGGCTGAATAATATCCCACTGTATGAATGAATATACCACACTTTGTTTATCCATTGAATAGACACTTGGGTTGCTTGCACTTTTCGGCTAGTGTGAATAACGCTGCCACGAACACAGGTGTACAAAGTACTTGCTTTTTTAAATCACAACTATGGAAATGCAGCTTCACAAAGATAGGACATCACCAAAAGGAACATAGTGCAATTTATTGTTAAAACTGTCAACCTTCTTGAGCTAGTAGTATTCCTGGGGTCAGGATGTCACATACATTATGTTTCCTTCAAACTTTAAAATATCATGTGACCTCCATGTGGCACCGCAGTGACCTTGGTGCACTGTTTGGGAACCACACCCTATGGTGTTAAAGCCACTGTTACTTGAGTTTCCAGTTGTGGGGAACTCAACCTTTAAGTAATAATACGCATTACTGTCAAATTTATACTCCTTATGAGGCTTCCACTAGAGATGCCCCAGTCTTCAGGTCAGATGCTTATCTGTGTACAATCCTTAGGTACTTACATCTCTGTACACAGCTCCACTGTATCCCCAAGGATTAATATAATCACTCTCAAGCCTTAGAAAATGCATTTCTTTAGCCACCACATAAACTGTATTTTTCCCAATGCAATAGTAACCCACCATGATGGTTGAAATTTATGTGCCAACTTTACGGGGCCACAGGGTGCCCGCATATTAGGGCAAACATTATTCTGGTTGTTTTGGGATGAGATTAACATTTAGTCAGCACACTGAATAAAGCATATTGCCCTCCCTAATGCGGGTGGTCCTTATCCAATCAGTTGAAGGCCTGAATAGAACAACAAAGTTGACCCTTCCTCCAGTAAGGGAGAATTCTCTCTTGACTGATGGCCTTCGAACTGGGACATCAGCTTTTTTCTTGCCTTTGTACGTAAACTGAAACATCAGCTCTTCCTGGGTGTCTAGCCTGGCTTGGACGGAGCTTTTGGATTGAAACTGTGTTACAGGCTCTCCTGGTTCTCAGGCATTCAGACTCAGACCGGAACTAGACCGTCAGCTCTCCTGGGGATCCTGCAGATCTTAGTACTTGCCAGCCTCCATTACCCCATGGACCAATTCCTTATAATAAATCTCTTTATATACATAAATATACACACGCACATACATATACATCCTATTAGCTGTAGGATATTCTCCTGTTTCTCTGGAGAACCCCAACTACTGCACCAGAGTCACATGTTCCAACAGTGTCCTCAAGACAGATAGATCCAAACTCCCTGGCACGTCCCTCATGACCCTTCACCTGGCCCCGACTCATTCCTCTCCAACTTTCATCTCTCAGTACAGTCTCCATACCCCACCCAGGTGGAACCAGGTGGAAGTCCCTGAAACGCACCATGATCTCTCCCCTCCATGTTTTGAGTGTGCTTTTCTCCCTACCCAGAATAAGTTCCAGACAGCCCCCTCCATGTGCACGTGCACACACACACACACACACACACACACAAGCACACACAGGACACGGGCACTGCATGACTGCAAGGCTAGCTCCCGTCCTTCGGGCATCTGCCTAGATAGCCTGCTCTCCTCCCAAATCCACCCACCCAGCATGGGCCGGGAACCCCTCTCACATGTTGTCGTATTACTCCAAGTGTATCCCCATCTGAGCCCTTACTACGTTTTATTTTAACTGCCCACTTATTTGTATGAATTCTCCAACTCCTTGAGGGCAGGGACTATGTTTTTTGGGCTAGTGTATCTCCAGAACAGTGGCTCACCCATAATACATGCTCGATAATTATTTGTGGAGTAAATGACCAAAGTTCAAACAGTCCCAGACCACCATCCTCAACCAGTTATCGGCTTAGTTTAGGAAATGTCTACCAAGACCTGAAAGGGACACATTCAGCTACTTCTGGTACCATCCAGACTACCAGTGGCATCTGAGATGCAAGGCCAGGAGTGATAATAATATAGCTGTCCTCAACCCCTTACCCATGCCCATGCATGACCCAACCATGTCCGGACAGAAACTATAGGTTAAGAAGCTGCGAGAGGAGTCAAAGAGCCACAAACAGGAAAATCAGGCAGCAGCACTATTTTGTGCCTGCATTTCAAGGTACTGTCCCTGAGAATTCACTATCCCTTAGGTACCTGAAGCTTTTTAAAAATATGTTTATTATTATAGCCACTTCTGGTCACCATTGAAGTGATATTCCCAAACTCCTTATTGGCCAATGACCTTGAAGTTACTTATTCCTTCTAGACCTTAGTTCCCTTATCAGTTAAATCAACCACAGCACATAACTCAGGGCTGCTGTGAGGAATAACTGAGACTATGTATAGAAAAGCACTTAATACGGTGCCTGACACATGGTGAGTTATGCCATAATAAAGGCAAGTTATTAATATTATCACCATTATTACTGTCAGTCAGGATTGCAAACATAAGTACATATACAAGCATGCTACAGTTCACTAGTCAAGCATGAGCCGGAAGATTCTACTGGGCCTCAGCCCCTGAAAATCCAAACACCTGAGCTGGACACGAAAGAGCTCAACTCACTACACTATGGATATAGCAACCTGACAACGAGAAACCTATTTGGGACACAGCAGCCAGGGAAACTTTTTCCTATACCTATACTAAGTATCAGTACCTCTAAGAAATAAAATGATTCAAAACCAAATCTGGACCATAAATAAATAAATTTAAAAGAAAAGAAGAAAATAAATAAACAAACTATGTAGATGCTTAAGGTTGTTGGTTTTTTTTGTTGTTGTTCTTGTTTTTGTTTTCGATCTGCCCATTTATACCTTCTCCATACCCTGAAATACGCAGATGCTAAGGCAAATGAGTTTTTGGCTCCTTGCCTGATATAAATCATTATTCACCTTAATTAACTGGGTGAGTGGCTCTTCTGAAGGCTGTTAGTAATTCTATTTGGTGGTGTAAGCACTTTTAATATAAACATTTAAGACTAATACCTTAAGGAATATATAATTGTGCTATTTTATACAGCAAAGCTCTATTTTACGTGGGATACCTGCTCTTTCTGTTTTTAGCCTAAATACACACATCATCTATGATATAACCTCATTAAGTCAACATCAACTTCTAAAGAGTGTGTCACTCAAATAATTTGCTATTCACTAACAATTATTGTTTAACATAAAATATATGGTAATTCAAACACTATTGAATTAAAAGCGCATTCTCTCTGCACTTCAGAATAACTAGATTTTCTAGTTCTCCACATGCACAAAGCACTCCTTTTTATTATTCTCTTTTAGCTTTTCTCTTGTTACTAGCTGTATTGTAAAAATTATAGTCTTAGCTCTTAAAATAATTTCTGCTATCATTGATATGTACTGATTCCTCATTTTATTGGTTATTAAAATTTCTCCTGTTTTTATCCTTTTTCCTTCCAAACACCACCTTTCTTCTAGCACTAGGATAGGACAGTTCCAGTCACTCCTCTGTCCATGGCCTGGAGAAACCAGCCCCCAGGGGGCCAGGGCACAGCTCCATGTACCCACCCACAGGGCAGGATCTTGCTAAGCTAGCTCTTACCCAAACCAGCACCACTCGTCCTCCCTCCTTATCTCTGATGTTTCTGTCTTACTACTGCCACCGTTTCACAGTCCCAGGCGGTGTCACATGCTCCTACCCAGCATTTACCACTGGGGGTCCCCTTGCCCACGCACACACACACATACATGTGCCCTTGGGCACGCACGTGCATACACGACCACCCCCTTACCAAGCAAGCTATATGTCATTATGACACCATCAACTTTGACCCTGGTGTTGAATAATGTATTTTTTTTTTTCATAGGGTTTGCTGGCAGAGAAGGCACTAGGGGGAGGGAAAAAAAGAGTTTCCATTTTTAAAAGATCCCAGAAAGACAATCCTACCTTTCCCGAGATTAGGAAGAAAAGGGCTTCCAAACTCCTGCTGCTTTGGCTTTAAAGTGTGTGACCCTGACATGCCTCCAGCCTGGGTAACCTGGAATCGCGGCTTCCCATTGGTGAGCGCTTGTCTCCTGGGGCTCAGGGCAGGCAGATGGATGGGGCTCTCAGCCATGGCGTTCTGAGCAGCCAGCCCTCCTCCAGAGGGCATCTTGAGATGGAGGTTGTTAGCAAGGCTTCCAATAGCGGGGCTTGGTGTGCTGCCACAGGGCGAGGGGCCAGGAGTCCCCGAGTGGGCTCGGATGGGAGGAATGTGATGGCCACTGATCATCCCAGGCCCCTGTGGGGTTCCCAGTGTCCGGTGGAGACTCATGCTGCATGACCTTCCATTCATTCTGAAAAACCTGTGGCCAGGATGGTCAAATATCCAATGGCACTAATGACTCCTTTCAGGCAAAGTCCAATAAGTTATCCATGGTGTGGGTTTTAAGCCTGTTTAAAAAAATAAATGCAGGCATTTTTAAAAGTAAAAGTGAAAATAAGAGACGGTGAGTTTTCAACCTGTATAGCATTCATATCAGGAAGAAAAGAAGCACACTTAGCGAAATGGTCTTTTATGTAGAACAAGGTCACCAAATACATGGCTCTTTGGCAAGCAGTCTCCCCTTCTGCACTGATGGGAGACTTGGATTATGGATCACTGCATTGTTTTGTCAGCCACTGAGCCCTTCTCAATACAGTGCTCTTGGCGACTACAACCAATCTACTGGTGCCAGCTTGCAAAATGAAACTTATTTTGCTCCCTCAATGATCTGTCCATACTAGTTCACTTTTGCTACAGTGGGTCTTGGAAAACCCAAAGCACCACCTTCATGAGCTCAGACCAAGGCTTCAAAGTTTCCAGTAAACAAACACAAAGCAGACGTGCCCTCTAAATGAGACTGATGGGGACATTGAGCCACCTCCATGTCACTCTAAGAGCTACCTTTTCGCAGCCCTTAGATTTACAAGAGATAAAAAACTAAGCCTGGGAATATCGTAAAGATTTCACATAACCATACAGACAAATATTCACAGCAGCATTAGAGTCTTGTATATTGATCCTGAATTACAGGGATGGAAATAGAGTCAACATCACAGTACTGTAACCTTCCATTAAGACCCTAGAAAAGAGAAAAGCTATTGCAAAACTGCTTATGGAAAGAATTAAAAAAAAGAAAATCCCTTCCAAAAGCGAGCTGTTCAGTATGTTCCCCTCGCATGACATACAGTAAATCAGCCACAGTCCCACAAAGCTTCCTACCACTAAGGAAGCAGAGGGAGAACCAAGAGAAGTACTGATGCAACTGCAGGACATCCTCATCCCCCCCCCACACACACGTGATGAGGTCAGTGTCCATGGTTCTAAATCACTAAGGAAGGCCCTTCCCTTGCTCACCAGTAACTCCCCAAAATGTATGCAATGAGGTGGCTCAGTGCCATGGTGGTGCCACTACTCCAAATGTATGATAGGCACAGTCACAATCTGTCTTTTATATAGACATAATAGTCATAAAAAGAAGTCAAAGCTGAACAAACACATAAAATAGAGACTGGGTACAAAGCAGTAGGAACCAGATAGCTTCAACTGGATGATTCCTACTTTTTCTGTATGATCCACTCAAAATCTTGGATGAATATTTCGACTCAACTACCAAAAAAATGACTCCATAAAGCATCAAAAAAAAAAACATATCAAGGATGCAAAACATTTCATGATGAGTTTCTTTTTCTTTTTTATTTCAAAAAATAAAAAATAAACTTAATTCTTAGCCGTATTCCTCTAGCTCAGGTCTCACTCCTCCCCTCCCCTCTACCGTAATTGCCATGAATGGACAAATAAGTCCAGATTATCCAAATCTGCATCATTTAAGTTTGTTTATGGAACAATAATAAATAGTCCCTGAAATAAGAGTAGCTGTAAAAATTTTTTTCCACTGGAAAATGCCAATGCCTTTTATGTCATGTCCATGTAGGAGAACTCAAGTCTGTTACCAGCCAGTCTGCTGATTCATTCATTGGTTGATTGTGAGCAAGAGTCATTTAACGTCTCTGTGCTTTGTCAGAAAAAACTGGCCATCTATCCCCTACTCATTGATAAAATAGTGTTTTCTAAGCACTCTGAACCGTAGAGAAGAAAGCACTTATTCAGAAGCAACCAAAAAAAATAGGCAAAAGAAATATGTCATATTGGCAATTTTTTGAAAATGAAGAATTGTTCAACATGACTGGAAATATGAGTCACTAAGACCAGGGTCCAAGTGACAAGTGTCTGAAGATTTGCAGACTGTGCCCATTTCCAGGTTTTTAAAAATAAGGGAGTCATTTTTGGCAGTAAGATCATATACAAGCAGGAATTCTCATCAAAAATCTGGATAAAAACATATAAGGAGGTACTTAGCATTAGGCTCAATCATTAAGAAGGTGAGTCTTTAAGAAGGAAAAATAATTAAAGCACTGAGAACTTAATTAAGTATCAAGCACTCACACCTGCCTGTGTTGGCCTGAATATTTATTTTATTTTTATTTTTTATAAACTGCACTCCTATTTTAAATACTTTTAGGTTGAAAGTAAAAACAACAACAAAACGTACTTAAATTTTATTGCTAAAAAAGTAGCAGCCAGAAATTAAAGTGATTAATACCATAAAAAAAAAAAAAACAAGAGGCCAATGGCATGTGAGCTTAGCAAAACCAGCCTCAAGACAAAAATAAAAGAAACTATGTGAAAATATGCCTAATATTCTAGTTTTCATATTAATTATGTCAACAGATTTTTCAATTAATTATGCCAACAGATTTTTCAATTTTTCATTCAATCTAATGAGATACCAGAATGTAAAAATCAATATTGTCTATTATAAATGGACAAAATATTATATATTATAATATTTTTGCATACTTTTTAGCTAGGCCATATGATTAAGGTATAATTCTAAGTCTGTATGGTAACAAAAAGGGATAAACTGCTAACTTTTAAGAAATACACATCTTCATAAAGTCAGAGAAAAGAGCACTCAAAAAGTCAAGATACCTGAGTTCTGCTTCTGGCAAATCATTTACAACTTCTTTGGACCTCACTGTTTTTCATTCATAAAATGTTGAGGAGGTTGGATATATTCATTGTGGTCTCTTGAAATTCTGTTATGCCAATTTAGATAAGGAAGATTATCAAAAATACTCACTATTACCAAGAATAAATATGTAGATTTTATACCTATGGCACTTAAATCTAGGAGGATTGAGTGGATGAGGAAGCAAAAATAATAGCAACCTCTGCCAACTCCATGAAAACAAGAGCTGGTAGAAAGGTTCTCCCACCAGCAACATGCTGATAGGCAACACTAGCCATGAAGAACGAATTTTAGGATTGAAATTACACTTTGCCAAAAAAGCAAAATCTCGACGAATCAGTATCAGCAACCTAACTGGTGGGATTCCATTGGAAGGGCATCTTTCTATTCAAAAACTTGATCAAATTCTCCAGCATTTTCTCCTCTATCCTCTATCCAACTACTCCACCCCAGGGTACCACCATCACCACCAACAAAAGAAACAAGAAAAAGAAAAATCAAGGAGAATTTAGAAGAATAAATTTAGGATGTTTTGGATCTGACATATTAACATATTTACATTTTTAATGCCCCGTTAGTTCACACAATGGAAATGTTCATTCTGCTAATATGAGTCAACATGAGAGTTAATAAATCTTTCCTTTTGACCACTTTCGAACTCTTAAAATACACTCCTGTAAATCAGGTCAAAGAGGAAATTACTTAACCCCTAAGGAAACTAAGGCACAAAACCATTTAATAATTCCACTAGTTTTCTAGAAAAGCATGACTTTCATCAAAATATCAAATCATGACTCCACCTTTTACCCGAGGCTCCAGCCACTGTTCCTCATGGATTAAAAGATTAAACAAACGAAAAGCAATGTTAACTCATCCATTCAAGAAAATTTCGAAAACACGACTTCCAAAATGCCTATTTACAGCCAAAGGCCCTTTCTTAGTAAATACCATTAATAGACTCATCTAGAGTCATAATTCATCTGATGAGCCAGTTAATTATTAATTTTCATACATCATTTCATTTCCTTAGGCTACATTTAGCCTTTGTTACATTTTCCATTTCTTATGCCACAAGCATTTCTTACCCTGCATAGAAAACCTGATAATGAGGCACAAAATACTGGTGAGCAAACAAACTGCTCCTGAGTCTGCTGTGCATATATATGTCTAAGCCATCTAAAATGGAGTTTTTATTGATTCTTCTTATTTTTTCCCTTTAGGTTCATGATTGTTTAATTTCATTAACACTGCCTTTTCAACACCGCTGCCTTGATCCTTAATAGGCCCGTGTTATTCCCATGAGCTTCTCTTGTTACAGCTTTTGTAGCCAGAAGAATATAGAAATGAAAAGCCTATTGATAGATAATATAAGTTATTCTCATGCACGGCTGCAGTGTGAAGCACATTTTGCAATTCAATCAAGGACAGATAGAGCTGAATGTTCTTAGATCCCAGGAGTTCATTTTAATAAGCAGAATGTACCTTGTCCTAACACAGGTGACTGACTCCTCAGAAAAGATTGTATAAACAAAAACCAATCATGTAAGTCATTTTATTGGCAACAATATAAACACAGCTATATTAGATGTCACCAATAAATCAAAATTATTCTTGTCTGCAATTTTAACAAGAGGAAAGTGCAAACATGTGCCTGTGAGGCTGGAGGATATTATAGAGGAAATGTATTGGATGTGTACAATATTATTTCTCTAAACTGAAACTGGAGGGCACTATATTATGCTACAGTAACTCACAACAAGGAATAGTTCATCATTTCTGTGGTTCCATAACTTTATTCGGTGACACTGACAAATTCAAAGAATTTTACAGCAGAAGTTACACAAAAACAGAGCTAAGATAATTCCTCATTAATGAGACGTGGAGTAGAAACTTACGGAGGTTACACCTAACAACTAGTGTGTATAGACGGATTCACTTGGGTACTCCCAAGGTCTACTGTTGGCAATTCTAAGATTATCAACATATTTATTCTGAACACTGAGATGTATAAATGTTACTTAAATGATATAATCACTATTAAGATGAAATCAAAGAGGTTTCATTCTCAGTTATACCAATTAAAAATATAAAGACAAATTAGTGTTCCCTCCAGAGATTCAAGAGCATTCTCCCAAAGACCAGTCAGAAAAGATAATATAATATAGCTGGGCATGGTGGCTCACTCCTGTATTCCTAGCACTTCGGGAGATCAAGGAGGGAGGATTGCTTGAGGTCAGGAGATAGAGACTGGCCTGGACAATAGCAAGACCCCATTTCTACAAAACACTTTTTTTAAAAATTAGCTGGGCATGGTGGCATGCACTGTAGTCCCAGCTACTCAGGAGGCTGAGGCAGGAGGATCACCTGAGCCCAGAAATTCAAGGCTGCAGTGAGCTATGATGATGCCACTGCACTCTAGCCCAGGTAACACAGCGAGACCCCGTCTCAAAATCATAATAAAAATAATGATAATATAATGAACATTATGGATCCTATCTAATAGCAACACTGACTTTGTTTTATCTATGGATTCAAACATTTAGCTATCTAATTAGATACATGTTTAAGCTTTTATTTCATAAAATTTTTGTCAAAAATAAAAATAATCTTTCCTAAGTTTATGGAGTGAAACAACTGGCAGTGTCATTGTAAATTTAAATTAATGGCTATGATATTCAAAATACAGGTAGTAAATATAGACAAGACACCGAGGAAAGAAAGAGGAAGGGAAATGGGAAGAGAGTAGGGGGAAAAGGAATGACCAGATTCAATTCAGGAATTTATTCCTAGTCAGTCAATCCTACCTGAAAAATCAGAAGCAGCAATGAGGACCGGCCACACAGCGACAGTCACTGCAGATTGCTGGAGGAAATTCAGAACCTTCAGGGAAACACTGCTGGAGGGCAATATTAAATGTTCAATAACCTCTCTTAGAATCCACTTTCCACAATTCAGTGCATCTATACAACTCTCATATCCTCCTAGTTTACTAAATGTCACTACTTTTAGTAGTAATTACTTAGAAGTGTTTCATTTACTTTGCCTCAGTCATTAACTCATCAATGAGTACAGAAAGGTCTGGAGAACTGCGGTCCTAGTGAAAACAGCAAAGGCAAGGAAGCTAAGTAGGGATTTCCTTGGTCAGCTATAAGAAATCACACAATGTGAGAATGAACTTGGGACCGAAAGATTTTTAAGACAAACACGAATAAGTTCAGAAAGCACCATGCTTTGATCCATGCATTGGCCCAGTCCAGGTTATGAATATGCCATAAGTTCCTAGATCTATGTTTAACGACGTACTCTTTCTAAAGCAGTGTTTCTCAAAGCAGTATGCAATTCACCGATGCTTTACGAACTCAATCATTCAATAGAGAGAGCATTTTTTAATGAAATAGAACCACTAGAATAAAATAGAAGCTACCAGTGCATCAAATGGATTGATGGTTAGGTATCTGTTTTCAGTTTATTTGTGGGTTATATATCTACTTATTCATATGCATATTTTGTCTTCTGGGTAAGGTATAAAATATATTTTAGGGTGAGTCACAATCAAAACAGCATAAAAGCCACTGTTATAAAAGCATTTGTACTACATGCCTACCCAAGTACTTAAAAAGGACAGCTGCAGGTAAAGATAGAGTTAAATAGTCAAAGTAAAAATGAATACCAAAATATAGCTGGAATGAGGAATGGAAAGGATCTAAAAGTTCAACATTTTTGGCTTTATAAAAAAACAAGGATTAAATAATACAAAGCCACATTCCTACCACTGCTATCTTTCACTGTGCCTTCTTCTCAGTAAATATCAAGTGATCAATTGTGCTCAATAAGTAACAATTGATCAACCAACTAACAGAATCAGGATCAAAATGACTGATAATTTTAGATTTTTCTTGTTGCAGGGGTAGACAACCTTCCCTGGAATAAAACCCCTATTCTTGCACAGCTAAAGAAGGAAAAGTTTAAATTAACACATAATGTCTGTGAGAACCGAGTCTTTCAAAATGTGTTCTTAATATGAGTTAACCATCAGATCCTAAGAAAAGGAATTTGAAATGGAAAAATGAGCACATTCCCTATGATGTCATTGCTGAATTAATTACCTGAATTGCAAAGAGTGAACACCACATGGCTATGGTTTGATACACAAAGGCTTCTTCTTCAGAAATATAAAAGCAAAATAACTGGCTGGAGAGTTTTCTTAAAAAAAAAAAAAAAGAAATCCTTACACAAGGAGGTACATAGGTAGTAAAATACAGCCAATGAAAAGAGCATTCTTTGTCATTTAGTCTGTATAACTAACAACTCGGTCCACATGAACAGCTGTTTGCAAGGCTAAAAATCACAATCCTTTAAAAAAAGGTAATAAACATGTACCTGTGCAAGATTCTAGAAATAAAATTTACCACTCCTTAAACCAAATATTCAGGGATATTAACGTGTACCTATCACACATGTAACTGATGATTTTTTTCCTTCAGTGTAGTTATTGCTTAAAAGTGACCAATGTAACTATTTTTGGCTGTTGGTAGACAGAAGTTTTATACAAGTTAAATTATGTTCACTGACATCAGCACAGAAGTATGAACGTCCACAACAATGACTAGGCCCTTAACCAACATGACAACATATTTATTAAAGAAATTTTTTTAAACCCCCGTGAATGACTCAGCCAAGTTACAGACAGAAGTGGAATCTATTGGTCATGCTGAAAAGGTTGGGAAAACATTAATCTATTTCTTCACACACAAGAATAACAAGAATTCATACCTAGCCCTGGCATCTAGTTGATTTTCTGTGTAAAGTATTCAGCAGGTCTAGAAACGAAACTTCATAGATCCGGTTCACAACTTCAGAAATATCTGGTATTCACAAAGTCTGATCTCTTTATCAAGGAGCCTAGAACAGGGTCTGACCTTGCACTGTGACCCTTTCTGCCCAACTGCGGTTCAGCAAGGCTGGCTGCGTCTGAAAGAATGTGCAGTCGTTCACGTTCTGGGCCTTGAAGAGATCACATCAGACAAGGAGCCCCCACTGGCTAGCTTTGTCTCAAGTCTGTCCTCAGCTACTTACAGCCTTCACGATTCAAGTTTTACAGATAAACCCCCTGATTTTGTTCCCAAAGTGGAACATGACTGGATCCTGGTTCCATTCATTCTACACGTTACCTTGGATTTTAACACCTTGATGGTCATTTGTTTCCCTCCCCCCTTCTTTTGTCCTCCTTCTCCCCAAAGTCAGATCTGATTTATCCTCCAGGCCCACCCCAAATACCCACATTAGGCCCTCCCTGATCATTTCTTAGTCTCCACATCTCTGATCTATAAAATGGGGATAATTACGCTATTGTGCAGTTCACAACATAACAGAATAGTAAATGAGAAAATGCGTGTTGTACGCTTAGCATGCTGCTCAGTACATAAAAGGACCCAATAAATGTTAAACATTTACACTACACACCTCTCCATTAACATTCAGAACTTTCTACAACGCATCATAGTTATTTGCCTGTTTCATCTCCCTGTCTAAATTCTAATTTCATTGAGTTTTGGGGTTATATCTAATTTATCTTTGACCTCTCCCTAGCCCTTACATGTACACAGATTATTTTATACTATACCTATATATTTATGTTTTTCACACTATTTTTATCATACATACATATTTTTATACTATTTATATATTCACATACATTTGTTACTATTGATATTATTCATACCATACTAATCATTTATACTGAAAAATATGGTGTAAGTGAAATATGTCATTATAACCCACATTTATCATTTATTGCCTGAATAAACACGAAAGTGAGGTACAAACATTTAATCATGAATCCCATGTTCTGTGGCTTATGCAACTTCACGACAACTGCCTTGTTTCCTAGTCTATTCCTTTCTCTACTAGGAAAAAGGAGCACAGAAATTCTATTCCACTCTTCTAGGCAGGCATTTTATTCTTGTCTTTAACTTGGCATACTGGCAAACAATGAAAATCCTGGCTAAAAGCTGCCAAACGAATAGAGTTCCTTCAGTACTGAGACCAGGCACCTTCCTTCCCATCGTGAAGGTTGTTGGCCCTCCCAAAGGGAAATACATTCTGGGTTGTCACAGTGGAAGGAGCTCCTCAGCATACTCTACCTCCACTGGTGTCACGTGAGACATTTCACTTGTGTCTGTTTGGTCTCCCCAACCAGACTGCGATTAGAATATAAATGTGGCTTTATGTTTCGTTAGCATTTTTCTTTAATTCTATCATGTTAAGTAATGCCTCACCAAGTCATTTCTGCAAGCCAAACTGTTTCCATCATCTTTAAAGGGGAGTCCAAATTATTTGACCTACTAAAAGTTTGTTGTGTGGAGCGAAAGAAGCCAGACAGACCCAAGAGTGTGTATTGAATTATTCCATTCACATAAGATATTTTTAAAACAGGAAAAACTAATATATCTGTTAGAAGTCAGGGCAGCGGTCACCTTAGGTGAAGGTGGTAACTGGAATAGAGTATGAAGGATATTTCTGGTGTGTTGGTAATGTTCTGTTTCCTGATCTGGATGCTAGTTACGCAGGTGTGCTCAGTTTGTGAAAATTCATCAAGCTTAAGATAGATGTGTTTTCTGTAAAGATATTTTATTTCATCTCAATAAAAAAAATTGGGTTCTTGTGTCAACTCTGACTAAAGTAAGTGGGAAACTAGGAAAACTTGGAACTTGGGCATCTTTTGATCAAACTATGTGTTAAAGTCATTTTAAAAGTTTTGTTCTATCTCATTTTCCTTTAATGAGAATGGTAACATATTTTTATTGCACAGATTTTGTATGTGCCTTTTTCCCCCAGTCTCATAGATTGAGTCTAAGAACCCATCCAACTTAGGGAAAAGTTAAAGAGTTAAATTCTGTATTTCCACCTTCTGTACAATATAATAGCCTCTACAGAAAATAATTACAGAAACACAGGAAATTACTTCTCCAGAGATGAGAATATGCATGGGATGCCACTTTCTGAATTATCTCCTTCATGAAGTACTCCTATAATCTGGAAGAAATGCAAATTAACATTCCAGTTCCAAAGATCAATAACTACAATATAAGAGGAACAACAGGGGAAAGGATGAACATCCTCAGGCTTAATTTACTAGCTGGAAAGAACACTCGAAGAAAAAAAGACTGAGAACACTGAGCTCTCTTCTGAAACCATGGAGAGACCACTCTCTGCTATGTAAATCAAGGCAGAGCTGATATTATTAGATATTATTTAACTTCCCCCACCCTATTTTGGCCTAGTAGGAATTTCACCCATCTGGGAGATCCTGGAGTCCTCCCCCTCCACAAAAGTTGCCTTTCCTATTTGGAATAATGATCACAGGTATTCAGTCTCTGATAGCCTGATTACTATTAAGTAACTTGGGTGTAATATGGGGATCAGAGAAAAGATGCTCTCCCCAAATTGGCCTAATGTGAACTAAGGAGAGAGGAAGTTATAGCAGCAGTTAACTACTCATACTCAAGGATTACTGATTCCTCTGAGCAAGAAAGGAGAGAAGTTAACCAACTATCAATAAGGAAAGGTGTTTTTAGAAATAACTGGGAAAGAAATGTCCCTCCATCTTCCTTTCAAAGATAGTGTGAGAGCTAGTCTGGCTGCACAATTAGTGAAAATATATGAAAACTGTAGTAAGTTTAATGATGGTCCTTAAACTTAAGCTTGTTGTCGGTTGCACAAAATAGCATATGACATCACACTCTCTTGTCTCTAAATCACTTCAAACTTTCCCAGAACAACTTTCATTGTGGCAGATCCTTTTTGTGCAAACTTTTGCAGGTTGCACCTGCTTCACGCAGCACCACTGTAAGTAAACTTAGAGGAGAGAGAAGAAATACGAAGATTTAAACCAACACAAATCAATTTTGTACCAAAACCAAACAAACAAACAAAAAATTCCCCCAGTTTAGTCTAAAAAGGAAGGTCTGATGAGGAACAAGACAGAGGGGGAAACAAACATCTGGCTAACTCCCAAGGCAGAAATCATGACTCATCAAAGCTTTCAGGAGGGACGGAATGAGAATGCATTTCTCTTGAGTTCTGGAGAATGCTGTCTGAACTGGGAATTTTAAGTGTTTGTCCTGGGCCTGAAACAACTGGCTGTGAGACCGTGGGCAAAATCCCTGAAGTCTCTGAGGCTCGGTTTCCTCATCAGTAGGTGATCGCCAAGGTCCCCTCTAGCTGTAACAGTCTACACTGGAGACTCCCGGTCCCATAAGTCTAAAGGGAATTGGTCCACTGGGGGGAGCTGCAGAACTTCCCTCTCCTCACAAACTCCAGGGCCCCAGGGGCCCCAACGAGACTCGGGAGATGCTGCCGTCCTGGAAGAAGGTGGCTCTGCCGGCGCAGGGAGAGGGTGCAAGGGCCCTCCTCTCTGTAAAAGGGGGCCGCAATCTCAGCAGTCCAGTCCCTACGGCCTCTGCTCCCCGAGATTCCGGAAGTAACTCCCCTTCCTCCTGCCCCGGGTTCAGATGCTCCAGAGATGAGGGCCAAGCCGATGCCAGGGAAGCCCAGCGGGGTTGGGGGATGGGGAGGCTGGGGGGGTGGGGAGGCACGCAGAGCAGGGGGCGGAGAGCTCGGAGAAGGGCTGGAGAGGTCGGGAGAGGTGACCCGGCCCGCCAGGCTGGGGAGAGGCTCGAGGGACCAGCCAGGAGGAGGGCAGCCCTTACTGGTTCCCTGCCCCACTAGCTTGGCCCCTGGGGTTGGAGGCCGGGGCCCCTGGGCTCCCCGGCGCGGAGCTAGGGGCGGGTTCGGGGGCGGAGGCGACAGCGCCCGGCTGGGAGCGCGCGGCTGCGACCCCGTCACTCCCCCGCCGCCTCCGCCCCTAACCCTCGGCCCTGTCCGCGGGCGAGCAAACGCAGCAAAACAAAACAAACTAGTGCCGGCTTCCTGTTGTGCAACCCAGTCCCGAGTAAGTCGAGGGCCGAAAGGGCGCCGCGGCGAGGAAGCCGGGCGGCGGGGACCCGCGCGCTGCCCGGCCCGGCCCGGCTGCAGCGGGCAGCCACGGCCGCCCCCGGGAGAGCGCCGCCGCCCCCCGGCCCCGACCCCCACCAAGCGGGGCCCGACCTCGGGTCTGCTCTCGCTCCTCGCCTCGAACAGCCTGAGCAGGTCGGAGGGCGCGACCGGCGGAGCCAGAACTCTTCCCCAAAGTTTCCCCCTCCAGGTACCGAATTGAATCACCCTTAGGATGACAAATCAGCCAGGGCCAAGATTTCCAGACACTTGGGTGACTTCCTCGTCCCCGAGGTGACTTGTCAGCTCCAGTGAGTAACTTGGAACTGTCGCTCGGGGCAAGGTGTGTGTCTCGGGGAGAGCCGGCAGCTCACTCACGCTTTCCAGAGAGCGGCCCCGGCCGACTTCAAAACACACACAGGGTCATTTATAGGGACTGGAGCCCTGCGCGGGACAGACTCTCAGACCGAGACATTTTCCAAACAGTGCTGACATTCTGTCCGGCCCCATGAAATGTAAACGCAAGGTGACGAACCCGGCGGGGAGTGCTCGTGTCTGGATGCGTCTGCGCATTCGCGGCGTGGGAGGTGATAGCTCCAGACCCGACAGCTGCGGGTGGGCAGCTGGACCCCAACCGGGACGAGTGGAGCTACCCTCAGCCCGACGACCTCCCGAAACTGTGGGGACACCGGCTTGGGTGAGCCACTGGCGTGGAAAACAGCTTTCGTGGAGCTCCACGCACACGTGGGACTGGAAGAGGCAACCACAGCCCCGTGTGTGCGCGACAGTCCTCGCGTCACCCCATCGGTTCCCACTTGGCCAAAGTTGCTCGTCGGTGGGGACACGGGGGTGGCGCGCCCGTGAGAACCGTAACTTGCCCTCATTTTTGTAGCCCTCCTGGAGGGGCCCTGTGCTTTAAAAGGAAAAACAAAAACTCTTCCCAATTAACCGAACTTTAAAACCTCGTTGATTTCCTTTCCCTCTTCTACCCTCGGCGCTCTTAGGCAGCTGACAAGAGCGCGGCTCGGTTCCTAATGGAGCGCTGCGACCGGCCTCCCTAAGCACAGGTCTCTGAACGACCTGTGAATCTGGCGCGCATGTCCTTAAACCCGCGCGAACGCCGCCGGCTCAGCGTGGAAAACTATTTCTAATCCCTAGTTTGCGTCTCCGAGCCTTACCTCCCCCCACACTCCCGAGCGCTCGGGCTCTCCCGGTCTGTCGCCTGCGAGCAAAGTTCCTATGGCATCCACTTACCAGGTAACTGGGCTTTCCACAACAAAGCGGGCGTGCGGGTCCCGTCCCCCGGGCGGCCTGCGCGAGTGACAGCGGGCGGCCAGCGCTGGCGAGGAGTGGTAACTTGGGGCTCCAGCCCTTCAGCGCGCTCCACCGGCTCTGCCTCCTTCGGAAATGAGAACTCCCATCCAAGCCGGGGGACGGAGCGCGGAAACCCGGCCCAAGTGCCGTGTGTGCGCGCGCGTCTGCGAGGGCAGCGGCGGCAGGGGGAGGAGGAGGCGGGAGGCGGGTGGCCGGACCCTAGGCATCAGCTCATTCTCCCCCGCTCCGCACGCACGTACTCGCGCAAATAATGTTTTCGAAAAGTTCAGTTGCGACTTTGCGCCTCGCCTGTCCTGCTCATCCTCGTCCTGGGCCGGGGATGCGTCTGGGGGCCGGCCCCGGGATGCCGGCTAATTGCTGCCGGCGGGTTCCGTCGTGGGGAGGGGGGGGGAGCGCCGGTGAGACCCTGGACGGCGCGGACGGCCTGCAGGGGGTGCCGAGAGGGGCGGCGTCGGCGGCACCCGGTGCCCGTGCGCGCCGCGCTCTGGGCTGCCGGGGCGGCGCAGTGTGGACGCGGCTGCAGGGAGAGGGGAAGGGGGAAGAGGGAGGGAGGGAGGGAGGCAGCCCGGCGAGGAGTGTGGATGGGTGTGCGGCCGCGGGGGCCGGCCTGCAGCCAGCTGCTTCCTGAGTGTGAGCGCCGAGGGGGGAGGGGGAGGGGTGGGGGCGGGCTCGCTGGTCACCAGACTGGCCAATTCGAAGGCCGAGCTTGTGTCTCCGGCGTCCGCTCGCACACTCCCCGTGCGCCAGGGAGTCGAGGAACTCCAGAACAGGGGTCACAGCGGGGAGACACTTTGCCTTGTTTCTGGCCTTATTTATTCAACTGACTTTTTTTTTTTTGTAACAAGGAAAGTATCAGTGTTTCGAAAGGATTTGATGTCAAATCATAAAGAACAAGAGAAAAAAAAGACTCAGAAGTAAAACAGGGAGCAGAAACTAAAAAGTGAAAAATGGCAAGAGTTTCTTTAGAGATTGGATGCGCAGGACAACTTCAAAACTGGATAAATGAAGCACAAAGGATGCTTTTGGCATCTTTTCAAAATATAGGCAGGGAAGAGAGAAAAGTGATGGAAGTGTTGCAAGGGTGAAAAATTCTGAACACAGGCTGCTAGGAACAGGGGCGCGTTCCCTGCACATGTTGCAGCTATATAATGGTGCTTTCTCCTTAAGAATTCAGCATCCTCGGCCTCATTCCCTACCTAAGTCGTGACCTCCAGCCCTTCTGTTTGGCTTAATAAGAGCCTTCAAACGGTTGTCACCAAAAAGCCTGCTTTTGTGGCGCCCCATATGTACTGCCACATACGCAAGGACTTCCATCTTGGGAATCAGTATATGTAACATACACAATATCCTCCAGTTAGACCTTTCTTCGGTGAGAGTATTTAATTCGCCCTCATGAATGAAACGAATAGGGATGTCACAAGATGCTTTTAGAATTTGAGCAATCCTTACATTTTGTTCTACTACTCTCACTCAAATATAAATCAGCATTCAGGTAGTAGATGCCATGATTAAGACAGAAGCCCTCAAGTAAGACAAGCCAAAGATATTTTTGGCAATTTTCATTTATCTTATTTCAGCAGGAATATTACTGGATTAATATTAACATCACCAAAGAAGCCAAGTTTTCACAATGCTTTTTTTTTCTTATGTAGTCATGTTATGATCCTCTTTTCCTTCTCCTTAGGACACAAACTGGTCAGAATGTCCATCATCAGAATATCTATCAGCACAAGTAGAGGGAGGGAGATAAATTAGTAAGTGCCTAGGATATGTCATTCTGTCAATTTTCCAGTTTCTCTCTCTGTTCTTCATCTCCTTGTAAATACAAGTATCCAAACCCAAGATGGCAATAGATGGGTTCAACCACACATAAGAAAAGAAAATACTCATAAAATGAAGCATACAGCAAGATCACAAAAACAGAAACCAAGTGGTGGAAATTGCCATAACTATTCCATTGTGGCTAGTTATTGCAACATGCCTGACATTCACATAAAAACTCCTCCTCATTAACTCCAGCCATCAGGAGCAGAGCAAGATGGGAATACTGACCCTTCCACACATCATGGGAACTTGTGTTCATCAGACTTCTGCGCTATACAACTGCTCCCCAGGAACTTGTGGACAGCCTGGGTGGAGGCTGCGAAGAAACCTTTCCAATGTCCCTCAAACACTGTTTCAAATACAATGGTTATGATGCATGAAATCGTATTCTAGAGCCTTGCAGAAGCTTCCAAAACTTCCCACTTGGTGGGAACAGCTTAGCTGGAAGAAAAAAAAGAAAAACATAGTGCTACACCCTACTTTAATCAATGGCTCATGGAAATAAAACACTGGGAAAGTTATGAGTCATCAACCTGAAGATCCCCAAAATCTCTTCATTTATAAGAGCCTAAGGGTAGGAATGTCATTTTATTTAGGTGTGATTTTCATGAGCCTCTAATATTCCTAAGACATTTACCACTAAATAGGTACAGGGCTTTGTTTGAATTCTTTTTGGGGACGGGTGCAAGAATGTAGATCTTCAATGTCCTTATATTCCATGGGCTAGAGTAAAAATGCAGTTTTGTTGTTGTACCGATACAACCCTGGAGTGACTCAGAATGAGCTCTGTACCTTTTCTGGGCTGACTTGGTCAGCAAGGGTGGGAGAGGGGGAGTAATGAGAGACAGTGGGAAAGGAAATAATGTCGTTCAGAAATGATACTTTCCCCTCTGTGAGCTCTCCGTTATGCATCGGAATCACACCCTGGCAGCCTTTCAGCCAGATAGATGGGAACTGCAGCCCAAGTCAGTATCTTCACTCTCTAGAGACGTATGTTGTATGTGCCTCAACCGCTGACTCAGGCCAGCTGACTCAGCAGACAGGCCTTTGCTGCCAGCTCATGTCCAGTTCTCATTCATTTGAGAAATATTCAGTGAGTACCTCCTCTGTCCAAGGATTGGGACTGAAGGGACTAACACCTGCAGGCATTGTGCATGGGAGGATGTCGCATAAAGCTTTTTGCCCAGTGAGTGGATCATAGCAAACCCTCGAGAAATGGAGATTCTTTACATATATTATCTCAACTACTCCTCAGCTCCAAGTTCTTTCAGCATGGCTGTCCTGCCAAATAACTGTGCAGGCTCTTTGAATGTGTACAAAGCATATTGCAGGCATATAAAGTGCAAAGCATCCTGATTAGTGTCAGATAAGTGCAGTTAAGTGTGTAAGGGGTGTGG